GAAAATGCATCAACTGCGATCAAAAATTGTTTTCCATTAAATAAGAATACATCTAAATGAACACGTTCCCAAGGGCCTTTAGGATAAGGCCAAGATGCAAGTGGCGCATGTGGAGGGTTACTTCTATGCGAGTTGCAAACTTTACAAGAACCAATATTTTCTTCAATATTTCTGTCAATATTTGGCCACCACATACGCGACCTTGCCTCTGACTTTGTTTTAACTACACCAAAGTGTGATCTATGTAGTTCGTCTAAAAGTTTCTGTCGCAAGCTTGTAGGAATTACTACTTTATATCCGCGTAATATACATCCATTTTCAAATGAGAGTTCATTTCTACACAAAAAGAAAGGCTTTAAACTGGGGTCTAATACCTTACGAGGCCATCCTTCATTGATCATTTTAATTACTTTTTGTAAAACCACATCCTGCTTAGTTTCGTTTCTAATATCATTAACAGTAATGGGCGGTAAAACAACTTCACCGATAAAATCTATATATAAGGAATGATCAATACTGACAGATTCATCTGGTTTATCTGTAACCGTAGCACGCGACAAAAAATCAGCAATATTATCATTGCTCTTAACATATTCAATATTAAAATTATACGCCGACAAAAATAGAGCATATCTTTGTAATCTGTTTGCTGCTAAAATTGGAACACCTTTTTTATTTCCAAGAATAGCTACAAGAGGTTTATGGTCCGTACGTAAAACAAACGGCTCCGAACGCCCGTATAAATAATGGTTAAATTTTTTAACTGCAAATACAATTGAAGTGGCTTCCTTCTGAATTTGAGCATAATTAATCTCAGCTTTAGTCAAAGAACGTGAAGCATATGCTATAACTCGCTCACAACCATTTGGTTGACATTGTGATAGCACTGCTCCTAAGCCAGTGGGACTTGCGTCACAAGTCACTATGGTGGTGGATTTAGGATTATAATGAGCTAACACGCGTTCTGAGGCTAATTCATATTTAATTTTATTAAACGCTTCATTTTGATCTTTACCCCAAACCCATCGTACACCTTTCTTTAGCAGTGAATTAAGAGGGTATAGCACAGAAGAAGTATTTGGCACAAAACATCGATAGTAATTGACTAAACCTAAAAACGATTTTAGCTCACTTACATTTTTTGGAGCCTCACATTTTAATATAGCCTCGACTTTAGTTTTTGACTTGTGCAACCCATCTTTATCTATAATATAACCAAGGTACTCTATTGAACTCTTGAAAAATTCACATTTCTCTGGTTTTAATCTTAAACCTGCTTCTTGCAATCGATCTAAAACCAATTCTAATCGTTGTAAATGAGCCTCTTTCGTTGCAGCTGTAATTAAAATATCATCTAAATAAATACAAACGCCATCAATATCACCCAATAACTGTTCCATTGTACGTTGAAAAATAAATGGGGCGTTTGCCAAACCAAAAACTAGTCTATTATAACAATACAAACCCCTGTGGGTATTAATACAAGTATACCTTTTTGATTCATCTAACTCAAGTTGTAAGTAAGCTCTTGAGAGGTCTAACTTTTTTACTTTTTTTTACTAAACTCTAAGCCTCCGTGAAGTTTAGCGAATAAATCTTCAATACGTGGTATTGTAAAATTATCTAAATATAAGACTTTATTTAATGTGACTGAAAAATCACCGCAAATTCTAACATTGCCATCCGGCCGTAATACCGGAACAATAGGGGTAGCTATATCCGAATGGTCTACTTTCTCAATAATACCTAATTCAAGTAAATTATCTAATTCCTTTTCTATTTTAGGTTTCAATGCTAAAGGTACCGGCCGAGCTTTAAAAAATTTCAGTTCCGCCTCAGGCTTTATTTTTAAAGTTACCTTATATTTGTTAAATCTACCTAATTCTTTACTAAATAACAAAGCATATTTCCCATTAAATAAATTATTTTCAATGCTATTTATATCCTTCTTTTTGCAGTCATGATTACAAAGATGTAGATCGAATAATCTCATGAAATCACGACCTAAAAGAGGCAAGCGCTTTTCATTAGACGTTAAAACATAAAACTTTAGTGGATTAGTACGGCCTTCATATGTTACTTCAGGCAACACTACAAATCCTATTGGGGATATTTTCATTCCCGTATAAAAATTAAAAATTTCATTACATATTTGCAAACGATAACTATTGTTATGACTATTTTTAAATAATTCATTATATATTGCGGTTGGTAAAATAGAGACAGAACTACCGCAATCAATTTCACACAATACTTTTAAGTTGCTTACCCATATATAACATGTAATTGGTTCATCTTTTATACATTTCTGTAAATTAAATAAATTAAAATTATTAACACCATCTCCATCGTCATTAGTACCTAAAAAGTTATTTCTATTGATTTTTATTTGACACATTTTCTTTAAATGTCCTTTCTTATTACAATTCTGACATGTGTAATTTATGAATCTGCAATTTTCTTTTATATGATTTTTATAACCACACACATCACATTGCCGTTGGGTAGCAGTACTATTATCACTGTTTCTCGCTTGCCGACGTTGCAAAGCGAAAACTGGCTGACTTTGCATCATAGATTGATCTCGATCATGATGTTGGGTAGACTGTATCGCTTGTCGTGCGCATCGTACGCTTTGGGCTAGCTCTAATGCCTTATCAAAAGTTAACAGTTCTATGCTTTCAGTAAATAATTTTTCTTTCTTTTATATTTTCCAATCCTAATACAAATCTGTCACGTAAAGCATTTTCCAATTCTAGTTTGAAACCACAGAATTGCGACAATCTACGTACCCGTGCTGCCCACTCTACTAAATCCTCACCTGGATGTTGTTCCGCCTTATAAAACGTATATCGTTCGGCAAAGGTACACTTCTTTGCAGAAAAATGATTATTTAATTTTTCTATTAGCTGCTTGAATGGAATTATATCCAAATCGTCCGGAAAAACTAAATCTTTTACGATGCGGTAGGTATTCTCAGCTAGAGATGTCAGCAAAATGGCCCGTCGTCTCACACCAGTTTTGTCAGTCTCATCATGTACATTATTTGCTACACAATATTGTATGAATCGACTTTTAAAAATGCTCCAATCTTGTATATGATGGTCAAAAAAAACATTACCACCAAACGTTGAACCGATATTACGTTCTGCCATTATTTATTCTTTGTTTAGTCACCAAATTATGCTAAACACAATAAATCAATCCTCGTGAACTCGATAATCCTCGTCGCCAATGAAATATTTGGATAATTTTAGTAAAAATCCATTTGCTTTCAAATCCCTTTTTATTTCTAAATCAATATTGACAACTATCAAAATATTGAAGTGTTCTATATTCGAACACATATATTACAATAGTATTATAGTAATTATGCAAATAATACTAATTGTGAAGAAAATATGCGAAGAATTTTTTTTCCATAATACCATGCTAACCAAGTGCTGTTTAACGGACTTTACAAATCTTTCGAAATTCAGAAGAAATTTTTCGATATCCAGAGTTTAAAACTTTAAACCACTTTACAAATAACTACAAAGTTTAGTTGTGAAAAAATTAAAGTAGCAATATGCGCAAATAGCATCAACATGGTTTTAAATATTTCGCATGTCTAGTTTCAGAGAAGATTAATAATATGATGATTATTGTATATAGATACCTATCTATTCCCCATACAGCATGAACAAGTACCCACAAACACTTTCTTCGTATACCTTTCGTATTTATTCTAGTGTGACTATAATTTGAATATTATAGGGAAAACATATCCTCCCGATTAAATTCCATCACACATTCAGTTAATTAAATATGACACTTTACTAAAGGTTATAATTTGAAGTCATTTCTAACGAGATTTTTAATGTTAAGATACTTTGATGTTGGATCTTCCAAGAGCATATTAAATATAAATGGGACCAATCTGGAAGTATACCCTTTCAAACAAAACAAAAATTGTCCAAATCGGTTAATAAATGACGGAGTTCTGAGGTAACAAACATAAAAAAAAACATACAGTCGAATTGAGAACCTCCTCCTTTTTGAAGTCGGTTGAAAACGGAAGTAATCAAAAGTTTTCTTTATTTACAGGTCACATATGTTACGCCCAGACCTATTAAAAATGCACCCACAAATCTTCGGCAAATTAACATATCAGAGAATATAAAACATTTTAGCGCAGGTAATTTTTATATGTCATTATATGGTGTTTTAATTTTATTTCTTGACTTCATTACTGAATTAAAAAAAGAATATATAGGAACTATTATAAATAAATATTGGTACAGTAATATATCTATTATTATCATCCAGCCCTTTTTGTTGAGCATTGATTCCCCTTTGCGTTGTATTCCTATTGATTGTGAGGGGATCATGCTGCAGTCCACGCTGGCTAAAGGCTTAGAATAAGTTCCACTGTATTCATCTTTAGGAAAATCAGGCAGTTAACAGATGACGATACTGCTATTGTGGTTTATTTCTACTAAGCTATTTTCACAACATCTTGGCTTATAGAGTTTAATTGTGGGATCACTTAACAACGGATGCGTACTATGAAGGATAATAACATAATTATCGTATTGCAATATTGTAAACTAATATTACTTTTAAAAAGAACATTGAAAGCTGTTCAATTTCTCGCTGAATCTTCTCAATAGAACTGGCTTTCAAGCCGGTGGTAGATTCTTCACCGACCGACTACATTGACATTTAATTTAAATTTAAAAATGTAAAATTAACGATTTAAAAGCGCTTGTAAAGTTCCATTCATTCATTTGATTTTGATTAATAACTATAATTGACCTAACTCGGACTTCGAAGTCAAAATCTGCAGCATGCTAGCTACTAGTGAATAGATCAACAAAAACTAGAACTCAATAGTCTTGTCGATTTTGGTGTCACTTTTATCTTTTTGATCTTTTTTTTTACTTGTAGAATTATTTAACATAAAAACTATTATGTACAAAGAAATTGATTTACAAAATCAAAAATTTTTGACGCAAGTAATGGATGATTTTTGGAAAAAATCATTTGAAATAAAGGCATTGCAAAAATTCTTAAATGATCCAAAAGAGCAGTACGACGTTGTGATAGCAGAATGGCTTTATACTGAACTTGGCGCCGGGTTTGTATAAATGTTTTTTTATTACGATTAAATTGAAATGAAATAGCTTCCTTTAACCTAAAAAAAGTATTCTAAGAGGATTAACATTCGTTCCGGTTTCAACCGACTTCCAAAAAGGAGGAGGTTCTCAATTCATCGGAATCTTTTTTCGTGTATGTTCACTGATTACTCGAAGACGCATGAACCGATTTGTATTTTTTTTTGTTTCAAAGGTTACTCCCGCGTGGTCCTATATAATTTTTTATCGTTTATTAAAAAATCAACAATAAATATTTTTTTAAATAAATTGTTTAGTCGAACATGTTATTAAACAACTTAAAAAAAACCGACTTCCAGACACCAAAATATAAAAAAATAACTAAACGGGGGTTTTCATTTAGAATACATACCTAATCAGATATTTTCGAAGTCGGTTTTTTTTTTAAATTTATGCAAAATGTACGTTAATAATATTATTAATGATTACTTTAATAGTAAAAACAGACAAAATACTTTATTCTGGTAAATTCAATATTTTCAAAGAGAAATAAACATTGTTTTTATAAGTATTCCATCAACAATAATTTTTTTTTCAAAGGGTATCAACAGTTTTTAAATGTCCATTAATATGGTCCTCTTCTATGGATCCCCATACTACTGTGCTATCTCTGATTCACGAACACCTAAATCCAGCGTATACGTTCGACCACATGTCTGTTGACTACTCTTTTACATTTTCGCAAAGAATATATCAGTTGTGGGACTCATTAAGTATGATGTATTTTAAATGGTAAGTTATTTTATTTATGTATACCGTATTAGTAGTACACATAAAATAAATCATAAGAAAACTGCTATCATCGAACAACATCTATGTAGAACGTATTCAAAAGCAGACAAATTTTCTTTGATTTTTTCGACAGTATCAATTTATCAATTAATATAAAAATTAATTAAACTTAAAAGAATCTGCTGTATATAATTGGTTAACTTAAAACCATTACGAAAAAACTGAATTGTACAATATGCACTTCATAAAATATAGCAATTTCGTAAGCAGCAAACATAACAAATGTAAATAATGATAGAATTTGTCAAGTTTATTGCTATGCAGATAAGAAATAATATATGATGTACGAAATCTATGGCGGCCCTAATTATGTTGTAAAAGAGCCACTTTATTTATTGCAATGACAAACATGGGAAACTATTAAAATTACAAAGCACAATTGAATTAGAACTTAGGATAACTACTGTAATATGGAGTTGTTATCATTCTTTAGTACTATAAGCGTTAGCGAATGTAATTTATAATATTTATCATGATTGTTGTTTGTCTATAAAATAGTTTCATATCAATTGTATTAGAAAAAAATTTTTTTTCATACAACCATTAAATTTTATTTCCAAAGGGTTAATAATGCTAAGCAGAATGAAGATTTTAAAGACATTTACGAATCAATTTTGACTAAGAGAGGCCAACAAGTACCACATTATGATGAGGTTAGATACAATGCTTCGTTAATGCTCGGTAATTCTGATATTACTACAGGCGATGGAATTGCTCTCCCTCAAAATTATAAGCATATTGGAGGATATCATATAAAGGATGTTGTTGAACCGCTACCCAAGGTATTCATGCAATCTTTGTACTGATTTTCGGAAAGTATTTACGTTTTTCGGTGTAATGGATCGCTAAAATAAATTAAAAAACCGTATCAGGAAGAGATTGTCTACTTAAATTAAGTTGTCTGTATGTGTGTGTGTGGGTTATAATTAATGAAAGCAAATATAAATGACCAGCGACTTGCCCTTGCTTTCCCTTCCCTTCGCACCTCTGTAAGCGGTTTGAACGGCTAGCTTATTTTGACTTCAATTAAAGTTATTATGATTTCAGATATTTTAAATACATTTTAACGGAATAATTAACCCATAGCAATTGACCACGATATACCTTCCTATTAGTGAAAGTATTTACAGAATCGGAGCTCCTTCTACATCTCACGAAGTTTACTTCTTTATAATATTAGGTGTAGACAAATACGTTTTTTTTAACCAAAGACATTATTACTAATCTATTTTTTATGGAATTTAATTCCCATAATATTTGTTTCTAAGACATTAGTAAACAATTTCCAGCTCAAATTTTAAATAAATATGCATAATAATGCAAATTTATTAATAACTACATATTTCCGACATTCATGGCTTGACTGGAAAAGATCTTTTTTCTTTTGAGATAAATCCACAATTATCCACATCATTTTTTTTTTGTATTAAGTACTTGTTTATGCAATGCAGGTATGAATATGTACCTATTTGTTTTTATTCTGAGATCGCTAATTTAAGAATATTATGAACACGATACAGTGGCAACATCTAATCTGGCTCTAAATTTATATACACGATAACTTGGTGTAGATATTTGTAGTATTTGTCTGGTATAATAATTTGTCATTGCATTGCATTGGTATAATACTTTGCGAAAGGAAAACCATCGACCAACCTAATAGATTATTTTTATAAATATCTACTTATAGGATATGCAAGAGATCATGGATAAAGCGGAACATGGTGTAATATACTTCAGTATGGGTAGTAACCTCAAAAGCGCCCACATACCGAATTCTGTCAAAAAAGAACTATTACAAGTATTTAGTGAACTAAAGCAAACTGTGATTTGGAAGTTCGAAGAGACGATGCCAAATGTACCCAAAAATGTCTATATGGTACCTTGGGCTCCCCAGCAGAGTATACTCGGTAAGACTTTATATTGATATCTCTTAAAAGTATGAATTCTTTACTATTTAAGTCACTTTTTATTTTTTGGCATAAAACCCCACATTATTATTGCAAATGCTATAATATCCATACTAATATTATAAATGTGAAAGTGTGTTTGTTTGTTTGTTTATTTGTCCTTCTTTCACGTCGAAACGGAGAGACAGATTTACGTGATTTTTTGTGTGGAAAGAATTGGAGGGCTAGAGAGTGATAAAGGCTTTTTACCGTGAGAGGTTATCTCATTCCCACGGGAAAACACGTTATAATACAACCCAAAATAATATTTATCATCAGAATTACTTAAAACTTGGTACTTATGCTCTTCAATACAATTAAATGAATATGTGTTTTAGTATTTTTAAAATTCATCTCATAAGGGGTTAAAATAGGGGATGAAAATTTGTATGAAACCTACCTATATGTAGATTTAAAGGTAAGTTAGGTTATAACCTAACTTACCTTTAAATCTATACAGATAAATAAAATTGAAGTATCTGTTTGTAATGTCTAAATAACTTTTATTAAATGCTTATGGAATTATATATGGTACAAAAGTTGTAAATTTTTTGTCTGTGTGTCTGTCTAGTTGTCTGTTTGTTCCGGTAAATCTCGGAAACGTCTGGGCCGATTTTGACGGGACTTTCACTGGCAAGTAGTTGATGTTATAAGGAGTAACTTATGTTACTTTTATTTTAGTAAAAGAATTAGGGTTCCGCTCAAAAAAAATAAAATGTACCTAGGGACCAATCCGAGCGAAGCGTACTTATAAATAAAATAATATGTATATCAGATTTTTAGCGCGGTTCTGCTAGTAATGACAAAATATTTTCTTTTATCAGCTCATGCAAACATTGTACTATTCATCACCCATGGAGGTTTACTTTCAATCTTGGAAACACTTCGTTTCGGAGTACCCATAATAGGAATACCATTCTTCGCTGATCAGTACTTAAACGTTAACAGAGCTGTCGCCAAAGGTTTTGCTAAACGATTAGATTTTGACGAAAATGCACCAAAATCTTTGAGGATTGCTATAAAGGAAATTCTTGATGATCCCAGGTAATAATATGTACTAATGGTTTCTTTGATAAGTTTGCATTAATTAAATATAATTATGTATTTTTAAATTATAAATAAGCACTCAATTACACAAGCATAAAAGAAAATAGGATAATTCAAACATTTAGCTGATTTACATAATTATACTAGTGTTCGCTCGGTAGTTAAAATTTGACCATAATCATGTTATTTATCGATATTACCATAAAAATCTATTAAAAAACAGAGAAGGATTAATAAGTACTTAACTGTTTTGTCTTTGCCTGTTAAACTATACATATAACAACATTGTGAGTCGAATCTGTACATTATATATTTTTTTGGAAAATATTATTGAAATAGTCATCATTATCGATACAGAGGCCGAGTCTATAGTTTTTAGAATTTTTGTCTGTCTGTCTATCTGTGACCACGTCACGTGAAAATCATTGACAGAGTTTAATGAAAGTTGGTATGATGATAACTAATTATACGGGTCAACATATAGGATAAAACGTAACCGAATGACGAGCCCGAGCTAAGCGAGTGTGATTCGTTAGTAGTATAGATATACATCTGAATTTCAGCTACCATCAACGGGCCAAGGAGCTATCCACAGCTTTCAATGACAGAATGGTACCCCCTGGAAAAGAGCTGGTGCACTGGGTGGAACATGTAGTGAAAACCGGCGGAGCACCTCATCTACGGTCTGCAGCGTTACACGTTAGCTGGTATAAGAAGCTATATCTAGATTTAATTTCTATTATATTATTAGGCATAGTAGGGCTTATCGTTGTTTTAAGATATACATTAAGTACTCTTAGTGCCTCTATAAGAATTAGTAAGAAAAAGGTAATGTAATATTTTTAATGTGATCATCAGCTCATTTCCTACTTGACAAAAGGGTGTTACTAACTTTCACAGTCCGAATGATTGAAAATTTAGTATACTGTTACTTCGGTAGCATTTCCAAGATATGCTTACCTTGAGCTGACGCTGTAGCATCAAATAGTTTGCGGGATGCTCGATTCCTCAGAAACATACAGTAGATATAGCGTATTTGGGCTCATAAGAATAGTCTAAATGATAGGCACCTATTAGAATTAATGTCGTAGAATAAACTACTCAAACAAGAATGAAATAAAAATAAAATTTAAAATAACCCCGACACAAAAAGAAAGAAAATAAAATAAAAACCAGAATACAAATAAAAGAAGATTGATAATGATAAGTTACTTAGCAGTTGCCACTTCCCCGACGTGGCGACGCTCATCATCAAAATATTAATAGGTATTTTAAATTTTTAATAAATTTAAAAGGACAAGTGAGAAATTTTATTTTTTTATATTTTGGAGTTCCTTTTGTGTCGAGGTTACTTAATTAATCTCATTTAACCTAGCCGACCAAGAAAGACCACCAAACTAACAGATAGATAAAATTAAAGAGAGATAGACGAAAGAAGAAGAAACAAAGATAGACAAAATTATAAAAACATTTATTTTTTTATTATAATATAATACACATATTCCGTAAACAAAAGTGTTCAGTAAATATTCAGAGTACAATTTGGTCCCTTTCTATTTATCTCAAAGACACAAGCTCTTATAAACTATCCTGTATCTGATTATATGCTATATGTTGAAATAATCTTAAATAATATGGTTACGCTCTTACTATTGTATATTTGTAGGCCAAAGCCAGATCAAATACGTAATACTTCTCTTAGATGCAAATAATTTATTACAATAACAAAAGACGGTTAATAATGTATTATATTGTATAATATTATGTATAAACTAATTTAAATTATATTTTTAATTTGAAGCGTTAAATATTTAAATTAAAATGTTGATATAAAGCGGTATATTTACCATGTTTTTAAGTTTTATAAGCTCCGATATTTCAGTACTTACAAGTATAATAGTCAGGGATATACGAGTACGTGGTCCATATCCCGTTTCATATCATAATTTTAAATTTATCAGTGATCATGAAAGCGGCTCCACCTATTTCGCGGCCCAAATGATGAAATTTGACCTCCTAAAAATGGTCCGAATTAGGCATGACATGGCTATAAATGGTCAGTGATTTTTAGATCCAATTAGGTCAATATTTTGACATTAACTACAGAGAGTTTAACATTCCAAGGTCATCGGAAAAAAAATTCGGCTCAAATGAATCCTGGAGATCGGATCTAAAATTATTTCAATTAGTCACGAAATGGTGAAAAATGATTTTTATTTTCAAAGTCACTCATACCAATTGCTAAGAACTCAACACTGACCAATTGCCGGAATACCCTGACCTTTTTGACCATTACTAAAAATCACTGACCATTTATGACAATTTTGCAACCAATTCGGACCACTTTTAATAGACCAAATTTCACCATTTGAGCCGCTAAATAGATGTAGCCCATGAAAGCTTACTATAGAGATAAGTTACAAAAATTGTTTCAAATATTGTATTATGGTTTTCTTGTATATATTGTGTTAGGTAGAAAGTAATAAACTATCCAAGAACTCTCATATAAACTTTGATTTATTATTATATAATATAACTATATGTGGCTTTACTTAAATTACTACTGACATAATAAAATAATAAATAAAAATAAAAAATATAAAAGCCTTTATTTGACCAAGTTACAATAATTCATCTTAGTTGCTAATTACTAAATTTATTTTCTTACTAATTGCTAGGTATACTTACTTAATTTTTTTTATTAATACATACTAAATTATACTAAACGACTTATTTCTAGATTTTTTTAAAATATATATAGTTAATTATGCATTAATCAAGGTCCCCAGGTTAGGTAAAGGCCTCCTCCAAAGATACCCACTTCTCTCTATCCTGTGCTATTTGCCACCAGCTTGGGCCTGCAATTTTCTTGATCTCGTCGTCCCATCGGGTATAGGGTCTTCCTCTCCTTCTTTTTCCTTGAAGTCCACTCCGTATTGTAGGTCCATCTTTTGTCTCTAAGCCTAGCTATGTGACCGGCCTATCTCCATTTTAACTTATGTGCGTAACTCAAAGCATCAGTTGCTTTTGTTATTGCTCTGATTTTTGTGTGACGGATCTTATCGACTTTTTTTACCTGAACATACTCATACTTTATTAAAATGTTAATTTTTATGTATAATAAACTATTTTGTACGTTTTAGTTAAGTAAAACTTATTTAAATTTTTTGATTGGGTTTCGTAATATTTAATGAACACAATTTTTAAAAGCTATCAACGCCACCTATATTCAATAAAAATAATCCAAAGAGTCGCTGAATTGGGGCTATCCAAGTTTTTTGTATGAAATGGGGTATTTCTATATCATCCATATGTCATCTGTGCTATATAGTATATAGCTCAAAAAGTATGGACATTAGAAAAAAAATGTAAACAAAAGTTGTAGAGAATAAATGGATCTTTAAAAATGGATAGATGCATTTTATTGATTAAACTAATATTTTAAGAGTTATCGGCCGAGATAGAAGAATTGGTTCATTAAATGATAAATCTATCATCATCATCATCATCATCATGTTCAGCCTGCTTTCGTCCACTGCTGGACATAGGCCTCTCCTATGGCACGCCACTGAGCTCGATCTTCAGCTCTACGCATCCAACCGCTGCCAGCCAGTTTACATATGTCGTCGCTCCACCTAGCTGGAGGGCGTCCTACACTACGTTTGCCGAGCCGTGGTCTCCACTCTAGAACCCGTCTACTCCAACGGTCATCGGTTCTGCGACATATGTGACCAGCCCACTGCCACTTCAACTTGCTAATTCTTCGGGCTATGTCGATAACTTTATACTCTACAAAAATAATTTTAGTAACTTTTGCCTTTATGTGCATAGTTTCCGAGATATTGGCCAAAAGTTTTTTCAAGATGGCGCCTGAAACTCCACCGGAATATTTCAGCATATTGTGATTTTATACTCAGTAAGTGATCCTAAATCTTATAAAATAAAAAAAATTAGATCGGAAATTTAGTGCAAAGTTAAAAAAAACGTCTATTTTTACTCTAGTAATGCTACATTCCTGTTGTTTTTATTTTAGTCTTAAAGTACATTTTAGTAGGGTTTTTTTTAATTTAAAGCTGACTTCATTTATTCTTCTTTTTGTGATCTAATACTTTTACTTTCTTTTTTCCAAAAATTTTGTCAAAGATCATTTTGATGACTAATTTTATCACATACAATATTATTACAATGATAGCAAGAAGGTCGAGATACAGCTTTTGGTAGAAAGGTAGATGCAAAGCAGGCGATCGAAGATGGAGGGCTCCATTTGTTTTTACTACATGTTCGACCCAATGAACAAGTTCTTTTCCAGGTGGTACTGGTCTATCATGGTATATTAGTGACAATTCCTTAGCTTTCGTGGCATACCTATGTATGAACAAAATATAATTAGAAACGAAAATTTACTAGTTAGTAAACTTAAAAAATAATAAGGAAAGCTATGTTTTATATTTTGATCATGAATTAAATACAATTTTGATAATATGGTAAATAATCAACATAAGGTTAGGTTTTAATCTTTCTATGTCAATCAAGACTTTACGTTAAAGAACTTCACATAATATTTCTTTACGAAATTTACAGTCTTTCTAATTTGAGACTATTGTATGTATTTATATTCAGCAATTTTAAACTTCTTACTGCTGGGCGCGGGCCTCTCCTCAATACGAGAGGGATTAAGACTGTTATGTCCGGAAAATTATAAAATACTTACTTAGGCTCTGTAAATATTTCATTGATGGCTGATTTAATATCACCAGCCATTGTGTAAGAGAGTTCAACTTTCACTGCAAATCCTTTGCTAACAGCTCTATCCGCATTTCCGAACTGGTCAGCGAATACTGGGATTACGATAAGTGGCGTTCCAAAGTAAATAGCTTCAGTTGTTGACAGAAGACCGCCGTGGGTTATAAATACACGACAATTAGGATGAGCTGTAAGTGAAACAAACGATTTATATATTATTCATCCAATTTTTCCCAGTTTACGTTTAAATTAATTATATTTAAACTGTTGTTTTTAATTCAAGTGTAAGTATCTGGGCCACCGAGCTTCGCTCGGAGTTTTTGGCCAAAAGTACAATTTTCTTTAAAAAAAAACAAAAAACTTGAATAAATACAAAAGAAGAAAGATAAATTATACCTTTGTATCCGACCGGGATTCGAACCTGGACACTTAGTCAATTTTGCTCCTTGGCCGCTTGACCACGATGCTTATGTCCGAGCGTGCAAAATTATCGAACAAAATATTTTGCGTGGAATAATGCAAAAGAAAACCGCATGAAAATTCGAAAACACGCGTTTCCCCAGACACCCGGAACCCCTTGTATACTAAATTTCATGAAAATCGTTGTCGCCGTTCCCGACATTTAGATTGTATATATACATATATATACAACAATTGCTCGTTTAAATCGGCTCCGCCCGCATTCAGAAGACCAAAAACCAAATTCTTAGGTTTTACATATTAGTATACTCTTACATTGCAATTTTTGTATTTTTTCTCAGAAATTAGATATTTTCCCGCGGTAAAAAGTATCCTATATGTTGACCCGGATAACGAGCTACCACCATACCAAATTTCATGAAAATCCCTCCAGTGGTTTTTCCGTGATGTGGTAACAGACAGACAGACAAAAATTCTAAAAACTATAGATTCGACCTCTGTATCGATAATAATGTTTATTTCTATAAGATTTTCCAAAAAATATTTAATGTAATATTTATTCGGCTTAGTCACAATTTTAATTTATGTATAGAATAAAAATTAAGGTAGGTACATAAAAAAATATAACCTAAAATACTTTGTTGAGGTGCCCATTGTAATATATGAACATTGTTTGGCCTATTTGGTAAATCCTCTTCGAACTTCCACAGCACTGTTTGTTTGAGTTCACTAAACATTTTCAATAAACTTTGTTTCAATTCATTTGGCATCATTTTGCTCTTTAAGTTAGATCCCATACTGAAGTATATAAGACCATTCTTGGCATTATCTAATAGTTTTTTTAAATCCTGAAAAACAAGTATTTTGAATATTAGTGTAACTTTAAATTGCATATCAGATATCTTTAAAATTAATAATGTTTATATTTCCAGTTCTTAAGCTTAACATTATATTTAGAGCAAGGATGCTTTGGCTACGAGCTCAACGTATGAAGGATTACATGTATTGGTAAAGAAAATATTTATTTTTGTCGGTTAATACGAAAATCTTACAGTTTAGAAGGTACTTCTAAACTATAACGTAGCAAGTCTAAAAATACAAATATAAACAAAATACTATTGCTTAAGCACGATAATTGCGAATTACAGGGGTTTATAATCCTACTGATTTAAGATGCCTTTAATGAGACTAGCCATCTGTGCAGGAGATATAACTCGTACCTATAGTATACATAGATATATGTATGTATATATGTATAATGTATGTAGTGATCAAGTATGCACGTAAACACAAGTGCACTATCAATTCCTTTTCCTCACAAACTCCAATAGAAAGACAATTTGATTGAAAGATGAGTGACCTTTAAAACTATAGCTAGAACTCGAACTTGGGACTCCTGGATCTGTGGGCGTACATGCTGTTCACTAGACCAACGAGGCAGTAATGACAGTAATTGATATACGTATTCACCCATTTTTAATGTCCCACTACTGGGCACAGGCCATAGTGGGTTAGTTGACTGCACATGTCTTTCTAGGTTCTCAGAACATGCTTAGTTGCTAAGTTAAAATAAAATAAGCGATTGTATTGTGTGTGTATTCAACCCCTTTTAACGTCCCACTTCATGACACGGGCCTCCGACCTCCATTCGATGCGAGGGAAATCCCGAATCAGGCCTTAGGCCGTCACGCTGGCCAAGTGCGGGTTGTCCGACTTCGCATATCTTTCGAAATTTTCCTATGATTTCTCACACATGCGGGTTGGCTTACGATGTTTTCCTTCACTGACAAGTGGTAGGTAATCATGTTGAAAATGATTCGTTCGTAGAAATATCAGAGGTCTCAACCCAGGCTTTGAACCCACTTCACTCAGTTTTCAAGCGAGCGCGTTACCACTGGGCTACTACTGCCTTAGTAATTGATAACTGAATCATAAATGAATATTTAAATATTTTTAACTGACATCATGACTTTAAAAAAAAAACTTAAAAAGTAATGATAAAATATATTACCGCTGGCAATGGTTTTACATCCTCCTCAATATGAAAACCACCAACAGATTTATACAAAGGGGGCAGTCGAGTGGCTCTGCCCATTGAAATATGTGAGTTACCCAACATGAGCGACGCATTGTACCTAAGTTCCTCAAATGTGGGTACAGGATTGCCACGGCTACGTATAATTGGTACTAGAACTTCATTATAGTTAGTTTTATCCATATCATATGCATAACTGTAAAAAATTAAGTATAATATAAAAAACGAAATTGTAATATAAAAACTAAAAATGTAACTTTATAATATTCGGCCCTTTTTTAACGTCCCATGGTTACATCACGCTGGCCAAGGGCGGGATGGCGGACTTCATCTATACTAATATTATAAAGAGGTAAATTTTGTGAGTTTGTGAGTTTGTGACGTTGTAGGGGGTAATCTCTGGATCTACTGAACCGATTTAGATGAAATTTGGTAAGAAGATAGTTTGAGACCCTGGGAAGGACGTAGGCTTTTTATCCCGGAAATCATCACTTAAAGGGGTGAAATGGGGATGACAGTTAGTATGGGGAATCAAGCTATGGACGAACCCGAGCGAAGCGAGGGTGAGTCGCTAATATTATATGTTTCGAAATCATGTTAGGTTCTCAGAGACATGCTGAATTATCTTTCGATGTTTTTTTCGTCGTAAGGCAAGTGGTAATTATGATAAAAAACGATTCGCACGTGAAAATATCAGACCTAGGATTTAAACCTGCTCCAAATGGTTTCCGAAACGAGCGCAAATTAAAATTGTAAAACAGTATAACAATTAAAATATATTAATCAGAAATAATTTTACTAGTAATCTATACATATAATAAAATTGTGACTAAGCCGAATAAATATTACATGAAATATTTTTTGGAAAATCTTATTGAAATAAACATTATTATCGATACAGAGGCCGAATCTATAGTTTTTAGAATTTTTGTCTGTCTGTCTGTTACCGCATCACAGAAAAACCACTGGAGGGATTTTGATGAAATTTGGTATGGTAGCTGGTTATTCGGATCAACATATAGGATACTTTTTACCGCGAGAAAATGTCTCATTTCTGAGAAAATATACAAAAACTACAATGTAAGAGTAAGAGAGGCTAATATGTAAAACCTAAGTATTTGGTTTTTGGTCATTTGTAAGCGGGCGGAGCCGCGGGAAATGCTAGTAATTTTATGATTTTACCTAATACCGGCTCTTTGTTTTATTTATATGTATAATGCCCAAGTCTCAATGGAATGGTATTAAAAGAGATCCCTTTTCAGTAGCAATATTTTCACATATTATTAATATTATGGGTGTTTATAGACTACTAGCCATGTGGTAAAGCAAAACCTAATGATATATTAATTGTAAATCTGTTATGGTATTTAATTACGCTATGAAATCGATATTTATGTTGATGCTATTTTATCCAAAGTTTTTTATTTGACACGAGTATAAGTATATAAACAAACATAAATTTAACAGTAACTGGATCTGTAATAACTATATTTTTACAAAAATATGAACATAAATGAGGAATTTGTGTATATAGAAGTTATTTTATGTTTATACACGATTTTCTCATGTTAGATACCATAAGTGATTACTTACAAATAATCTAGAGCAAGTCCTCCAATCTGGAAAGTTAACTCTTGCAATCTTTGCGTGAAAGATAACGGTACATCGTTACTCGATATTGCGTCGGGATTATAAGAGGGGTTGGGTATTTCATCGATCAGCATTAGGACTCGCCAGTGGGGTTCCACTGATGACAACCATATAAATGGGCATCGATACACTGCAGCTATCCTGCAAAGAGTACAGTACAGTATGTATAGGTAGAAAACTTTATATCTTACTATATTTTTAGGATTCAATAAAAGAGATTGGCATTGGAAAGGTATACTATGGGTTGTATCTTTTACAACGTAATAAGCTAACTATGTAGTTTATTTTATTACTTACGTATAATACAATATACTTTCTTAGATTTACGCGAATATATTGATATTTTAAATAAAACTATCTTTTCCGATGTTTTCGCGGTTTTACATCAATCATGGTCGCGGGAAAGACTAATCTTTTCGACGTCTTAAAGGATTATAACATACTTGTTACAGATATTTGTTATTATTGTTTTTTTTTTACTATTACAATATAATATGTGAAAATTTGTATTTGTGTGTATGTTTATTACTCCTTTACGTTGAAACGGCTTGACGGATTTATTTTATTTATTTATTTTAGGGAAACAAACATATATTGCACATACATAAATAATAAATAATAATAGATAACACATAAACTAATGAAGTTTCCACATATTAAAAATGAAAATAAGAAGCAGACCACAATTAAAAAAGAACTAAAAGTTAAACACTAAACTAAAAATTGACAACAAGAAACACTCATTAACATTAATAATAAAAAATAAGGAAAAACATAAAATACATAAAACACGAAATTATCGATTAAACAATAATTGATTAATACTATTTTTGAAACCTATAAGTGAATTCGAAAATATGTCTATACTTGTAAATTTTTTATTATACTCATTACATGATAGTAGTAGCGAAGTATATAATATGTATATTTCGAGCATATTTCGTTCTAGTACATGGCAGGTCAAAAATGTCGTGGTTGCGCTTACTAAATTTTCGAACCTTAAAATTTAAACAGCTTAATAAGAAAGTGCTATCAATGAAATTATTTAAGAGTTTGAAAAGAAAAATTTGATCTCTAAGCGTGCGACGCATCTCTAAAGGTCTAATATTAGGTGGACATTGATCATGACGATAAAATTTATATTGTGTATGTTTTATAAATTTAAGTTGTATTTTTTTGTATAGAATTTATATACACCTTATATTGTGGGTTCCAGATTGATGAACCGAATTGCAACATCGAGCGTACTAGACTCTTGTACGCGTATAATTTTAATATAAGCGTATAATTTTTAAACTCTTTACCAACTTGAATGAATACCAATTTGGATGAACTAGAACACAGATAGACTATGACAACCTGGAGTAACAGGAGTACTGTCTGGCGCCTTGGTACTCACCCAGCTAATTTAGCTTACCCGAGTAATCGCTAGTAGGTAATAAAATGAAATTATAAATATTTTTATTACCTACTAAGTAACTTACGTCGCATAAAGATCATTGAACATCCATTCACCAATAACAACATCAAATGTTTCCTTTGGATCTGTCAAAATCTTGTTAACTGCGTCACATTTTAAAGCCTTAGAAGTCATATTCGCCATCGCAGAAACAAATACCTTTACATTGAAAACATCTTCCTTTTTCAATAATTTTTCTATGTTTAATTTCGAATCTGGGAAAACATAAGTAATAAATATAAAATAAATCGAATAAAAACGTAACCTCTAATTACTTTAAATATAGTATCTAGCACCAGATATCTCGTAATCGTGACATTTTAGTGTACAGAAGTTGCTGACACTTTTTGTTTGCATCAATACTAGCCTCATCTTAGGCCGACCAAGTATCCCCCTGATGCGTGTTCACCTTGTCGTGGTTGGCTCATTAGATTCCCGTAATCCAGCCAGGCATGTAGCCAAGAGGCACGCAGGGAGGCAGCCTACCTTGGAGGGCGTGTACCATGAGGGTTGCTCCTGGTACTTCTCTGATAGCAGAATGGATCGGAGAGTACCACCTTGGTAGTTGCGGTCTGCTTCAGCAGGCCTGGCGTCAATCTTATTTTATTGGGGTATGTAACAGTTTACTTTCATATATTACGAAAGTCTGATTTACATAAGACTATCTTTTTATTCTTTATCGTACGAAGATAAAGTCTAAAAAAGACAATAAGATTAATAGCTTATAATATTTAGTAATTTTCAAATGTAATAATACCATTTTTTACATACATAACTACATACATATATTGTATATATTAAAAAAATGGGTTATTGAGTTTTATAAATTAAATTATGTAGGTACCTGGCAAAAATTGCTTGGTGAAACTAACGTCAATCTCCCTGACTCCAGCAGCAGGTTTCTCGTGAGGAAATGCTGTTATATACGTTATCTGGAATGTAATGGAATGTAATACGTTATCTGGAATATATTAAAGTAGTTTTTAATATCATATTATAATATTAAAGTAATTTAAAAAAAATATGTCTCACTTTTCATCTCATACTCGTATATTGTAATCGCTATCGTATAAGGGCTACAGTATAAATTAATAAAAACTTAATCCAGATACAAAAATGTAAAAAATAACTAAACGGGGGTTTTCATTTAGAAAAGATACCTAATCAAACATTTTCGAAGTCGGTGCCAGCCAATGCAAAGCAAATCTAATATATTTCGATACGTAAAATACATATTTACCTATTAGATATTCATATCTTAAAATATGTCGGCTGGCACCGACTTCGAAAATATCTATTATATTTTTCATTTTAGTGCATGGAAGTCGGTTTTTTGAAGTTTTTAATTTTTTCATTTTTAGTGTAGACGTAATAAGCAGGTAATTTGTAAAAAGAACGTTTTTAATAACATATTCGATTAAGCAATTTGTTAAGAAAAAATATTCATTGTAGTTTTTTTTTAAACCGCTCGACCAATTTCGATAAAATTTATATGGGACCTGAAGTATACCCTTTGAAACAAAAAAAAATCCAAATCGGTTCAGGTGTCTTCGAGTAATCGGTGAACATACATAAAAAATCCTCCTTTTTGGAAGTCGGTTAAAAGAGTCGGTTAGAATAACAGCTAATACGTTAGTCTTATAACATGTCTAATTCGCATTGATTACCATTTTCAGACCATCAAACATCTTAACTAAAATCCGAATAGATGAAAAAAAAATTGTGATGATCAAACACAAATAAATTTATCTATGATTGCTAAAATAAATATATTTTATTAAGATCAACTATTGTGCAATTTATATTAATATCGCCATAACGTTACACCACACATATAGGAAATATATAGGAAAATAATATCTACGATCTTCCGTATAAACCTACAAGACAAAATGCATGTAAATGAATATATAAGACTTTATTTACAAAGAGCAATAATAGGGTCACAAATACTTGTATCTATTTAGTAGGTATATGGTGTTTTAGCACAATTTTTGTATTAGTAACTGAATTTCTTAAAAACTGTTTCACGTAACTGTAAGAATACACTGTCTAAACGTTGACTTTTTAATCAGCGTGCTGATGAACTTGTCAGTAGATTAAATTATATTGTAATGTATAGATTTTAGTTAACAAATCTCACCTCATGACCAGCCTTTGATAAGTGTCTAACAAGCCCATCTCCGAGGATGGAGTGACTTTTTCCTGGGAAAGGACTTACTACTAATATTTTGTAAGCCTCAGAATAATAAGATACTAAAAGAATCGTCAAAAGTAATAATTCGTTGTACATCTTCATATTTCAGACATGAATCTGGAACAAAAATGTATGTTAAACATTTATTTTATTTTTAACTTGTTAGTATGATTGATGTATGTTTGTATCTATTAAGCCCTTAATATTTTCTTAGATTTACATTAATATTTAACATTTTAAATAAAATTTATGGACTCTTCATATATTATTATTCATCACTCATTTGTTATAGACTTATTGATTTGCATCTTATAAGTTTCATCTGAACGGGTGCGCAACTTAGACCAGCTTGGCAACTGGCTTCCCTGATGGCGGCGGATCCCTTTCGGCGAAAGAGAGAGTCTCTCCCGTGACCATGATTGCTGTAAAGCATTCGAAACGTTGGGAACCAAAATTTAAAATAATTCAACGAAAATATCCGAAAAGAGTTTTATTTAAAACATTGTCTTTTTTACGTCACACAGCTGGGCACGGGCTTCCCTTCGTAACGAGGCCAAAGTCCATCACGCTGCCCAAGTGCGAGTTAGCGGACTTTATGTATCTTTCGAAATCTTCCCAGGTTCTCTCAGACATGCAGATTACCTCACGATTTTACCTTCGCCGTAAAACAAGTGGTTATTATGTTGGGAATGATTCGCACATGAAAATATCACAGGTGCGAGACCTAGGACCACTTCATTCGGTTTCCGAAGCGAGCGCCTCACCACTGTAATGGGCTGCCACTTTTTAGTTTTTATCAATAGATCTCGATATATAATCTACGAATACTTCACAAATATCGCTAGATAGTAGTAAAAATTTTTTTTTCTTTACTTTAATTTACATTATTGTATATTTACTTATTTCAACTAGAATAATTACCTAATCACAATTGGTGACAGTTTTAAGAGAACTTTTGCATGGGATTGTGTATCTAGTACTATTTTGATCAATGACATAAAAAATAAATATGGTCAAAGGTAAATGAATAACAAAACACTTACTCGCTCACGTGTAAGTACAAACTATAAGAACACACAATAAATTAATATAATACGATTGATTTCAATGAACGAGATTTAATAATAATAGACGAGTACTACTTGTTATCATCGTAGACAAGATAAAATTGTAATATATGTATCACTTGTCTTATCTTTGATTCTCCTTCTGTACATAGACTGTTAATTTTATTAATTATTATTAATGAATTTAATATTAATATAATATATATAAATTTAATTATTATTAATAACTAGCGACTTACGCTTGCTTTGCTCGTGTTAGGTACGTTTTATATAATAAGAATAATTATTGTGAGTTAGGAAATACACGCTTTTACACCTCACACTTGCTCACATCGGGGCCTTTTCTGTAAGTCTTTTTAATATTAAAGATTAAAAAAATTGCCGAGCTCAACATCGTTGCCGCCACCGAATGACTAGATTTAACATCTAACTAAAGGAATTCATTCGGCTCGCATTACCAAGATACGAGTATATCGTAATATCTTAAACTACATGTCCAAACAATGTATGTACTATGTATAATTTAAAAATACAGTAAAGAACAAAAATCACGCCCATTACATACTTATGACGCTGAAATTAGTTATTTTGATAAGGATTAATAATATAAATTGTTGAAAATATTCAACCGTCTTAAAAAAGGAGGACGTTTTCATACGGCTGTATTTTTTTTGTTTGTTTCCTCAGAACTCCGTTCTTTATTATTCGATTTAGATAATTTTTGTTTTGTTTGTAATACTTCCAGTTTGGTTACATTTAAATTTGAAAAAAACACTCCTAAGGGTGGAAAAATAGATAATGAAAAATAAAAATAAAATTTCTAACTGTCGTATTGACTTGAAACTTTGCAAGTATTTCTATTTGCCTTGATAGTGCAGTGGTTCGGTATCATCGACAGTATGGTAAGGCCAGAAGGTAGATAGGTAGAACTCTTTAACGGCTAATAGTAGAAACTTTGAGTTTGTTCTTCTTTTCTTTAACGATGAAGCCAATACGTTAGAATTGGATTTTAGAGCCAGATTTTTTAGTGTGACTTATCACATTTTATTACACATAGTCACATTTTATTATTGTAAAAGCTAATTTTAGTTTGTCAGTCTTCATATAAAAATTGGCATCAAATTAACTTAAACGGCTTAAGCAAATATTTTATTAAAATACTTTCTTCTTACTTTTCTACTACTAAAAAGGGAAAGATGAAAACTTAAAAGAAAAAGAACACTAAAAAGTAAAAAATAACTGATTGGTAGTTTTCACTTACCATATGTAAACACCTAATACCCCAACCGATACAAATCAAAGCAAACCGACTTCGAAAATATCTGATTAGGTTTCTAATTTCTATAGTAAATAAAAACTACCAATCAGTTATTTTGTTTTAGTTTATAATGTTTTTTTTTGAAGTCGATTTTTTTAAATTGTAATTTTTCTCTTTTTAGTTTAAACACTGTAGTAGCAAAGTAAGAAGACAGTATTTTAAATGAAAACTATCAATCAGTTCTATTTTACTTTTTTGTTTTTTTTTGAAATCGGTTTTTTTTAATTATTTTTGCACGCACGTGCAAAATAAAAGCATGATAAAACATTATTTTCTTCTTAATGTTATAATTATTCTATATGAAAGTATATCTATAGATAAACATCAAAGGAAGTTTGTAGTTACCTTTATATTTCTTAAATCTCGTAAATAGCTACTTACTCTATTTGTATTCACTATCTATAGGTTGATAAGATAATATAATTTTAAAATACGTTTATGTAATAAATACATAAAAATATTCATTACGAGCGACTCACCATTGCTTCGCTCGGGTTCGTCCCTAGCTTGATTTCCCATACAAACTTTCATTGCCATTTTTACCCTCTTAAGGGATGATTTTCGGGATAAGAACTATCTTATGTCCTTCCCAGATTCTCAAGGTATCTTCTTACGAAAGTTCATCTAAATCGGTTCAGTAGATCGAGATATTAACCCCTACAACATCACAAACTCACAAACTACCTCTTATTATATTAGTATAGATTAATTACTTGATATGAACATTATTAAATAGTAGGGAAATATTTATTGGATGTTTTTAATCAGCACTTACAAACAGACACTAAAATTTTGTTCATTTATATAGATTTACATTTAAACTAGCTGAGTTCTATTTTAAAATTAGCTTAATTTTCTGAATTCCGAAGATACAATAAGTCTATATTATGTTGAGTTCTCCTGAACATGTACTTCTGTTTATTCCCACTGTGCAGAGTAAGTTATAGTTCTTATAAAAATATCTTTTTTTTTAAATCGATCCAAGTAGAAAAACAATTAAAAATAAAATATTTTAATAAGATATTTAAAATACATTTCCATATATTTTTTTTATTTTAGACCACGAAACAGACAGAACACAATTATCAAAATTAATATTACATTAATAATAATATAATCGAGTCTACTTTAACTACTTTAAGCGTAATACATCTACACTAAAATGATAAAGAGGTACCTACCTAGAGTTTGTAAGTTTGTTTGTAATGGATAAGCTGAAAATCCCCCGAACGGATTTAGATAAAATTTGGTATGAAAATAGTTTCAGACCCTGGGAAGAACATAGGATAGTTTTTATCCCGGAAATCATCCCTTAAGGAGGTGAAAATGGGGATGAACGTTTATAAGGTTAATCAATTTTTTCTCAAGTGGAAATAAAACTATATAGCCTACCTATTCCATACTAATCTCTAAATTCTAAGAAAAATATCAATAAGTAAACATATTATCATAGTCTGTGTAGTTCAGGTTTTTACGTACGCTGCCATATTATTATCTTAGCAACATGACCTTGACCCTTATGAACAAGTACCTACTTATTTGTATAACGATATCCATGAACATAAATCATTGCCTTACCTACGCATAAGCCGAGGATATTTTATTCTATTTAGCAACGAATACATCATACTATAATATTCAAACAATGTACACTAATGTAAAACACTCATATTAATATTTCCTAAAACGCTACACTCACTGAAATATAGTTCAAAATAAAAGTAAAATGGAAAATAAGTTTATTCAATTACATGTCTGTATACAAACATGATTGTTTTTACTTCTAATTAAATGCTATTGAAATATTTCATTTTGTGCCCTACGGCCTACTTACAGTGGCTACGAAACTAAAGAATTGAATTGAATAATGTTTAATTTGATATCATTTAGGTTAAACAAACTGCACTAGGATATTTGCGAATTAATAAATTGGTTATTGAAATAATAAGTACCTATCTATAATAACAAAGCATTTTAGATTTAAAATGCTTATCAATAAAAATGAATGGCTCAAAGTGTTGCTAAGTGCAAAACTCGTGAACGGCTGAACCGATTCGGCTAATTTCGAGAGTTGAAACGAGGATAAACTCGCTAGTAATAAATAAAATTTATCCTCAAACCAATCAAAAGTAGAATAACTGGCCTTCTGGATTATAGGAAAAAAAAATAAAATATAATGACGGTCGAATTTGAATACGATAGGTATAATATGTAATTAGCGGCTCACCCTCGCTTCGCTCGGGTTCGCCTCTTAAAAAACAAAATAAGATCGATCCCACGATATGTGTTATTCTTATGTATGAGCGATGATATTGTAAAGTTTCATTAAACTCCATTCAATAGTATTTGCGTGAAAGAGTAACAAACATTCATACATCTACACAACCTTCGCATTTATAATATTAGTAGAATTAGGACTGTAAAAGTTTAAATATCAAATGTTATTTCAGTTAAATATAAATCATAAACAACATACCTAATATGTATATTCAATCATGCTTTTTGAAACACAACACCTCATTTACTGCCATGGTGTGACCAGGCAGCGTTGCACAAACATATCAGAAATGTAAAATTGGTTGTGACGTTTATATCATTAGGTTCATAATTTATACAATTAATAATTGTTATAAATAAATACATTTTTTTAATTATTTAATCTATACAGATAAATAAAATTGAAGTGTCTGTTTGTAATGTCCAAATAACAGCTTTTT